GTGCTGATGGGGCGGGGATTGATCCCTCCTCCCCTTGAGCCTGTTTGACTCTGCGTGCTGATGGGACTGTATTTGTATGAGTATCACGGACACACAGACGAGTGTTACGGTTAATGACAGTTTCTCCCCTGATCAACGAGCGGGCTGAATCGGGTGTCAGCCGTCACTGATAGGGCAGAGGGGCGATACTCCATCCATCATCACGGCGAATTAGCCGGCCCTTCCGCTTATAGGCACCGACGCCATCCTTCCGCCTCTTTCTCCCTTAGCAGCGCATGCAATCCGGCGGCGATCCACCTTGCGAGCTGTACTTTTTCTCTGAGCGACGCGGAGGTGGTGCTGGTGCTGCTGACCAAGATCTTGTTCAAGATCTCCCTCTAGTGACGCGCCACCTGCGCGGTCCTCAACAACAATGCTCTCTGCATCACTCCGGCACGTCCGGCGCGTGGCTCTCCCCCCCCGCCCCTCTGACCCTGCCCACTCTCTACCCTCGCAGTGCCACAACATCGTCAGACCGCCCCCCGGCTCCTTCCGCCTAGTCCACGGCCGCATCCGGCAGCCTCCCCTTGCGTCCATCTGGACGGGATGGAAGGGCACCGAGTCGCGAGATGAGAAGGAAGGCGCCAAAGATGACAACGATGACCACATGGCGAATAATGTGTCGGCATCGGCTGACCAGGCTGTGGCCAAGGGCGGCGGTGGTCAGGCCGTTGGTGGTGGTCAGGGCGGTGGAGATGGTGTGGTTGATGACCATGACCATGAGGCTGGGGAGGGGGACTTTATGGATGGGAACGAGGAGAACACGCCGATCCGGAAGTTCAACCAGGGCAACCTTATGGGTCAGAGGATATGGCGGGCCACGGCGGAGGACATCAAGATCCTCAGGAAGGCGCCGTACAAGTACCCCCTGCCCATCGAGATGCCGGTGAGTGCGTGACCGACACACAGACACACATGAGGGAGTGCACTGTGTGCTGGACTGCGTGAGCCGTGTGCTTGTGTGTGTGTGTGTGTGTGTGTTTGTAGGGTACGATTGTGATCCGCATCGTACGCCTGTCTGAGCCCGTGACGAGCCCCATTTCCCGAGCTATAGCGAATGCTCAATGTGAGTGAGTTCACCACCCACACCGAAATCATCACATCAGCGGCTTCTCTGTCTGCTGTTTCTTTATCAGTTGGCATTCGTGAGGACGAGAGGTGGCGGCTGCTGTTTTGGGGGTTTCTGTGCTCGGGTGTCTTGTGCAGTGCTGGCCTCTGGCAGCTGTATAGGTGAGAGAGAAAGAGAGAGAGAGAGAGAGAGAGAGGGGCGGAGGGACGGAAGCGTGTCATTGTGGTATGGCGTGTGGAATCCACAGGATGAAGTGGAAGGCTGATTTGATAGAGAAGCGGCGCAGTCGCCTCTCTATGCCCATGACCGTCGTCACAGGCAGCCCATTCCCATGGTGCTCACACACACACACACACATACACACACACAAACGGCAGACACACAGACCCACGGGAATCCTCCGTGTGTGTTGCAATGCAGGACGGATGATCTCGAGAGCTGGGCTTATCGCCTTGTGGAGCTGAGGTACGAGAGCACATATTAAACACCTCCCTCTCACGGCTGTGTGCGAGTGTGTGTGCCTGTAGGGGTGTTTACGACCTGAGGAGGGAGATGAAAGTGGGGCCCAGGCCGGGACTCAGCAGAGACAAAGTCAGACAGACAATCAGACACACACCGTACCACTGTCACACTCACCCCCCTGTCCTGTGCGGACGTGTTTGTTATGGTTGTCAGCCTGGCTACAACATTGTGTGCCCCCTCGTACTCGAGGACGGGTAAATAGACAGACAAACAGTCAAACAAACAAACAAACCACAAGGGTACCATGTGTCCGCGTGTGCATGCGTGTGTATGGTCAGGACTCGTGTGTTGATCAACCGAGGTCACATCAACTTCGAGTACGCTGAAGCCGATGTCCGCAGAGAGGTCAGCTGCACTCAGCACCCACGCAGCCTTCACACAGACAGACGCACCGCAAATGTGTGTGCGCTCTCCCACCATGGCTGGCTAACAGATCCCCGAGTGGCTCAGCGTCCGAGCCGTCATCGATCCCGGCGAGATTGTAAACACACACACGAAGCAGACCATTCACTCATTCACCTCTCGCTCACCTCTCCCTCCCCTCCCTTGCTCTCCCTCAGCCCAACTTCCGTTGGTTGAATCCGCTGGGTCGTCTGAAGAACAGACCCGACGACAACATGTTCCACTCAATGAGGGCAGAGGACCTGGCACAGAGGTCGGGGGCGCCCAACATCCAGGCCTGCTCACAGGCTGTCCTCAACGCTTTCGGTCAGTCAGGCACACAGCACACGCAGGGCGACGTGGGCGGGGAGGGAGGGAGGGGGGGCGGGGAGAGAGATTCGTGTCGTCTGTGTGTGTAAATGTGGTGCAGACGCCATTTACGATGAGGACAAGTACCTGCCGCCCAACAGTAAGCAGCACAGCAGAGAGAGAGAGAGAGAGGGAGGGATGTGTGTGTGTGAGTGGATATTGCGTGTCGCGTGTGTGCACACGTATGTCAGTGCGCCGTCGTCGGTTCACGAGTGAGTTCGACATGAAGGGCAAGAAGGACTACCTCCTCTTCTGGGCCGACGAATTCACACACTTCAACTACGCCATGCAGTGGTACGTCTGTGTGTGAGTGGGCTGCCGACCTACCTACCTACCTAGTGCGGCCATTGAAGCGCACACACGCCATCGCCTACGTGTCTGTGTCAGGTTCGGCATGGCGGCCTTGGCTGCGGTGATGACGGTGTCCAAGTTCATCCAAGTCAGCAGATGGAGGTTCTGACCGGGCGGCCGTGTCGATGGATGCAGTCAGTTGTTGTTGTGCGTACGCCCCGTCCATTTGGAGTGTCGTGCTGTCTTGTCTGATCGCGGGATTGTTGCCATAACCGACGTCGGGGCTGATCGTCGTCGGTTGCAGCAGCGAGTCGGAGGGCGAACGTGAGACAGCATGGTGCAGCAGAGAGGAGGGGCCTCCTCGGTGCGTTGTGTGTGTATGTGCGCGTGTGAGAGAGAAATTGGACCGGCTTGTTTTGGTTGAGTTGTCTGCTGATCGATAGAGAGAGTGCGTTTCCCGCCTTGTTTGTACATGCATGTCCTCCCGGGTTTGGGCTGCACATGGACCTGGCTGTTGGTATCAGCAATGGCCGGGCTCATGCGCTCGCATTCGGTACGGCGCGCGCAGACAGGGGGAAAAGGACGGCTCGATGGATGGATGGATGGACCTGTTGAGGTGAATTACACACACGCGAGAGACGTGTCTGTCTGTCTGGGTGGGTCGCTGGGTGGGTGGCTGTACACTCAGTCAGCAGTGTCAATCAACGCATATATACACACAGGAAGAGCAGAGGAGGAAATGCGATCAATCATCACCATCAATCAGACTTTCGCACATTGACTGACACAGTGGCTGAAAAAGCACTGATATAGATAGATAGACCTGAGCTGGCGTGTGAACCCCCCCCCCCCCC